CAGCACTCAGGAGGCAGAGGCAGGTGGATCTCTGTGAGTTTAAGCCAGCCTGGTCTACATAGTGAGTTCCAGGCAAGCTGGGGCTAAAGGGAGACCCAGTCTCAAAAATAGTGAAATGAAATAAAATAAAATAAAAAACTAAAAAAGAACTGGAGAAACTTCCCTCTTTCCTCCACAGAGATGCCAGCTGCAGGGATGGAGAGGTGCAGGTCTCTGGAGGAGGGTGGAATGTTGAGTGTCATTTCTGTTCCTAATGGATGCCTTAAAGATTATGCCCTAGCTTTTCCCTCAGAGACAAAGATTGGTGGGATTTAGTCTCCATATGTGTGTGCTTCCTCCTAGATCTAAGACAAAAGAAGCCATTTATCATAACAATGAGAGTCACTATCTGTTGGTTGTCATCTCTTGCTCTTAGGCATCTCATCTGTTTTGCTTCTTTTAGCATCAACAACCCTAAGAAAAAGCTGTTATAAATAAGAAAAATGGGCTCCGAAACTCTAGAAATTCACTCATTTCCACAGCAAGTGCAAGCAGGGATGGTTCAAGTCCACTTGAGCCTCAGAGCCTATATTTGAAGAAACCTACACCTGAGGGCCATATTTCTCAGAATTTTCTTGAGAATCTTCAGCTGTCAGCTCCAAGTTGACAGACACAAGTTCCTATCCTGGCTCAGCAGGTCACTATGGGACTTTGGGCCAGTATTGCAACTTCTCTCTGAACTCAACTTCCTCATCTATTTCCTATCTCAAGACCAGGTGCGTTGGCTCATGCCTGTAATCTCAGTACTCAGGAAACTAAGACAGGATGATCACGGTAAGTCTGAGGTCAGCCTGGACTACAGAGTGAGACCCTGTTTCAAAAACAGAAAGGGGTGAGGAAAGAAATTTCAGAGGGTGGGCTTTTGAGAAATTACCAATGGTATTAAATATCTAGTGTACTGATGATGATGGGACTAGTGAGTAGCATCTGTTAGCAGTGCAAAGCATTGAACTTGTACTTGTCTTCAGGGAGGCTGGAGGGCTGTGAGTTCATATTAAGGTAGAGCAGCTACAGCAATTGCAGCATGCTTGCATCTCCAGGCTGGGTTGTGACTCACCCTCTGGGCTGGAGCTCCGGACACTTCTGGGGACTCTGTGGCAACCACTTCCTGTTGTGCTAGAAGATGGCCCCTCTGCGTTGGCCTTAGCAAGCCTCTCCTTGTGTAGCTGGGTACAGAACACTTTCCTCTTCACTGGCCTACTCTGCCAAAGGGAGTATCAGGCACAGCCTGGCTACTTTAGGGATGGTCACCGGACACAGCAAACCCAGAAGTCTGTGAGAGTACCAGGCTGGAGGCCTGCCATCATCTGTAGCTCAAGTGCATTGTGTATTTCCTCCATGCATGCATGAATAGGCAGAGCATTTGGGAGTCATGTGGTGTATGGCCACAATTACCTCAAAATGGTAACTCATGAATAAAAACAAATCAGTGTTTGTATTTTTAATCTGCATTTGCTGTTGTATGCTTCAAACCAGCAGCACCTAGGAGACTGGAATGACATTTCATAGACCCTTTGTGCTGCATTTTTATACCCTCCCCAATAAGGGAATATTTCCCTTCCATCTTTCCTAGCCCACTCCATCATTAGCAGTCCCCTTACTTAGGGGAATCCCCAGCAGTTAATATAGTAAGGAGAAGAGTAGAAAGGATCGGCTGGAACTCACTTCAGCTCTGCGTATCCCTGTCTTCTTCCTACAGGTTTTCTCCCACCCAGGGCTGGTGTTCCAGCTAGAAAAATTCTTAGGCATCACACTTCCACTCTGGGCAGATGGCCCTGAGCTTGCCAGGCGGTAGGTCCAAGATTACCTGCAGCCCCTGATCTGCAGCCTCTTCTAAGCCCTATCTATATGTGACTTCGGTGAGGCCTGAGGTTTGGTTGCCTGCTTGGTATTTGTGCATTTGCCTATGTACTTTAGGTGACCTGGAGAGCAGGTGATGTGATGTATGGACATGTTTTTGAAGCTCAGAAGTTGAGTTTTAAGAGTATACTTTGCAGGGATGTGAGAGTTGTAGTCTTTAATCTAAAAAATTTCTCCCCAGTTCCTTGCCAGAAACAAAGCTGAGTCACTGTTTCCTTGACTCTTGCTCCCCATGCACGAGAGGTAAGAATGAGTTTTCAGGAGAGAAGCTGACGTCATAGACTAAGTGAAGCGGACAGAGTGGGGCTTGCCCTGGCTGAGGGTCTGCGTTTCTTCTTCCTCTGCAGCCCTGGCCCGCCATCGCTACATGAAGCAGGCTCAGGCCCTAGGTCCTCAGATGCTGGAAAAACCTCTGTACTGGGGGGCAGACAGGAGTTCCCAGGTTTCATCCTATGCAATGAACCCGCTGCTGCAGCGAGGTAAACCCTGCCAGAAAGCCTTGGGAGGAGGAGGGCAGAGGGTGAGGGCAGGAGCGTGGGCTACAGAGGAGCTGCGTGACTGTTGTCAGGATGAGAGGGAGTGGAGTGTCGCTAAGGAATGTGACATTTTGATGCCCAGATTGGAAGATGGTGTTTGTGACCAGCAGTGCTGCGTGTTCTATCATTGTTTCTATTCAGATTTGTCCTTGCGGTCCAGCTTCCCACAGATGCCCATGAACCAAAACGCCGCTCACCCTCCCATCGCCAATGGTGTTCTGGAGTATCTGGAGAAAGAGCTAAGAAACCTCAACCCAGCCCAACCTCTGCCGCAGGATCTCGGAGCTAGACCTGGCCATCCCTGTAGCATGCTGTCCTCCCTGGGCTCCGAGGTCGTGGAACGCAGAGTTATCCACCTGCCCCCGCTGATCAGAGACCCGGTGTCCTCCAGGACCAGCTACACCTCACACCAGCAGTGGCTCAGCTCTGTTCCCTCCAGACCCTGGGATCTGAGCGAGGGCAGGAGGCAGCGCCATCATACGGATTTCCTTCAGGAGCTCCAAGACCGGGGGCCCAGACCCTGGGCGCTGGGGAGAAGGGAGCTGGATCCCCATTGGAGTGGGAGGCAACATCGCTCCAGGCGCAACGGGTCCCCCACGCCCTGGTCAGACTGGGACAGCCTGAGCGAAGGCCCCTCGTCCAGTGAGGCCCGTTGGTCCCACAGCCACCCAGCAGTCAGGAGCCACCGAGGGGAGAGGCCCCGCAGGCCTGAGTCCGGGGAGGATGCTCCCAGGCGGGGAAGACGCAGGCACCGCAGCTACTCTCCACCCTCGGGTCCCAGTTCTTGGAGCTCCGAGGAGGAGAAGGAGCAGATGCCCAGGAACTGGGGGGACCAGCATCGCCGCCGCTCGCACTCCCCAAACTGGCCAGAGGAGAAGCCACCCAGCTACCGCTCTCTGGATGTCACTCCAGGCAAGAATGGCAAGAAAAAAGGGAGTGTGGAGAGGCACTCGGTAAGCCTGGGGCATTCTGCTGAGGGTCAGGCATGGGCCCCTGGGCCGGCGGCCTTGGCCACAGCTGGCACAGGCCCAGAGCAGGAGGGTGACTGCTACCTGATTTGCACAAAATTCCCTGAGATACCTCAGCCTGGCAGAAGGGCCAGGACAGTGCTGGGGGCAGAGGAGGCCAGGGGGCTCACAGTCAGGTCACTGGGAGGCAGATCAGGTAGGGTCTGATGGTATGCAGGTGAGGCACTGGGGTTCAGAATGATTAAACATCCTGGGGAGCTAGACCTCATAACCCCAGCTGCCTTCTTTGACTTTCACTTTGTAACCTTATTTTCATACCCCAAATTAAAGCTCAGCTATATTTGAGGATGAGGTCCTTGCAGATACCCCAGGAACCAACCATCAAACTGAAAAATTCATAACATCCCAGTTATGAGTAAAACTTTAAGCACTGTGAAGAGGCAAGGTGCCAGTCCCAGCTTAACAGTCTAAAAGTGAAACACAGGAGGCTGTGAGGACCTCTGACCTTTCTTCTCTTTTAAAGACATGACTTTTAAGTCAATTGTGGTGGCTCACAGTTCTAATTCCAGCCTGTAATCCCAGCGCTTGGAAGGTGGAAGCAGGAAGATTGTCACAAGTTCTAGGTCAACCTGATCTATAGTATGAGACCCCCGCCTTTAAAAATATGATTAAACAATCATTTTATAGTAAATCCATCCAAATGACAGTTGTTACTTTGTGAAAGTATTCAATTATTGCTCAAAACCATTCATGAATTACTCAGAGCCAACTTACAGGCTCCCCACAAATAGCTTTTTCTCTGATCAAAACCTTGCCTTCATTTTCTTTTGCTGAGATAGTTGGGTCAGAGAAGTGGAGGCAGCTCTGAGAGGAAGTCCCAGAGTGGAGGACTATTGTAAGTATAGTAGTCTCTCTTGGGCTTTGAAGGATACACCTATAATTAATGAGTGATTTTTAAAAAAATCAAACACAGATGGTATGTATGTAGGAACAGACTCATAGGCTACTGTCTTTAGGGCAGGCTGAGGTGGGAAAGTGATGTGAGGAAGGCAGTGGAGACCAGCAAGCATGTCTCAAATCATCAGGGGCAGCTGTGTCATCTTCTGACATGTCCCATGGGGGCTGAGGTCAGCAGTAGCTCATAGCCCCACCCATAGCCCCAGAGCTCTGTGCTGTGGACATTTTGCACCTGTCATATAATTGGTATAGCAGCCCTGTACTGTAAAGCTGTAGAAGAGTCATGTGGTCACAGCCCTGTGCCTTGGTCACACCATCCTCAAACATCCCTTGGTTGTCTCCACAGAAGTTAGAGTGTCCTCAGCTGCAGATGATACAATTGTTTCTTCTCTCTTATCATTAACAAAGTGAAGTCCTGGAAGAAAGGACAGAATTTGGAACAACTACCATTTGCTTTTCTTTTCTTTTCTTTTCTTTTCTTTTTTTTTTGAGACAGGGTCTCCCTGTAGCCCCTGCTGTCCTGGAACTCACTATGTAGACCAGGCTGGCCTTGAACTCACAGAGATCTGCCTGCCTCTGCCTCCCACGTGCTGGGACTACAGGTGTGCGCCACCATTCCCAGCTGGTTGCTTTTCTTATAGTCACTAACTATGTCTAGTCCTTTTCCACAGAAAAAGATTATTTTTTAAAAAGTTTTGGCATCAAATCTAAACCCTATTTTCTTTTAATTTAATTTATTCTTTTTCTTTGTTTTCCTGCAGTTAAATTGTATAACTCCTTATAAGGAAAGGGCACAAGACATTATGCTGTAGACACTAGAGCAAGTCCTTTCCAGGTCCTAATTCATTCAGTCCTCACAAGGCTCAGAAAGTTGAGTATCAAGGCCAAAACACACAACCAATAGAGGATGAGGCCTGAGTACCAACAGCCCTGTACTTCTCAAACCTTTTCAATAACTCTCACTGCTTCCTTAGAAGACAGGAAGCTATCACTGGGATCAATAATGTTTTCTGGTGACCATCGCTTCCTAATTTTCTCAAAGTATCAGTGCTTCCTTTATCACTAGGATGTAATTACACAACGATAATTCTACCACAAGCGAGCCAAGTTTTTGTTTATAAATTTACTTTTGAGAAACAAATATTTTGTCCAAAATAATTCTAAGAGCCCCCATTTACTCTCTGAAATCATCTTCCAAAAACATCACTTAATCACATTCAATCTTCCATTCATTCTGACAGTGACCAGCCCAGGACTAAAGCTTGACTTGGCAGATTGGTTAGGGTGAAGGGCACAGTATGTGTTTGTTTATTTATAGCTTAGATTTTGAATGTTTTTACTGGGGCAGAGTCTTCAGGGCCTGTCTTTCTCTGTCCTCTCCATAACCAGGCTGAGTGCTTCCTACCCACATTTCTGAAGGCATTGGCGCTTGCCACTTTCAACACTGTGCAGCGTTAGGCCACTAGATGGGGACCTTCAATCATGTGTCACTTGGCTCTGTAATCCCTGCATTTTAAATATATATTATTGTTAAATAAGGCTTTAGCAGTGACACCTTTACCATAACTTTTCATCAAATAGCTATTAAAAATCTTTATTATAGCAAGAGGTGGTAGCACACTCCTTTAATCCTAGCACTCAGGGGGCAGAGGCAGGCAGAGCTCTGTGAGTTCAAGACCAGCCTGGTCTATGTAGTGAGTACCAGGCCAGCTGGGGCTACAGGGAGACCCTGACTCAAAAAGACCAAAAAAAAAAAAAAAAAAAAAAAACCCTATTATTTAGAAAAGTGGGGATAAAATAAAATTTTTTTTATTTTTGTATTATCTTTTTTTGTTTTAAAAAAAAAAAAAAAAAAAAAAAAAAAAAAAAAACCTATTATTCAGAGAAATGGGGATTAAACTAAATATTTTTTAGGTTTGCATGATGCCTTCTTGCTTAAGAATAATGTTCAACAAATACATACAAGCAAAGAGTTCTGTGCATATAATCTGGGAACCTAAAATAAGTGAGAGTTGTTCTCTGCTTAATGACCAGGAGAACATGAAAGTTCTGTTGTAGCATCTTCAGCTGGACTCTGCTCCAGCTGAGCTCTCACTGCAGCCTTGCACTTCCTGGTGACCTTTTCACTCAACAAAATGACAGTGTCAGTATATAGGAAACAGAAATTTCAAGCTTTCTGCTCCAGTGGTTTCCAACTGAATGAATGGCCCCTGTGTTCCTGTCCTCCTTCAGACTGACTATCTTTTTTGCCAATCTTTTTTTTTAATGTGTATGAGTATATTGCCTGTATATATGTAAGTGTACCTGTGTCATGCAATGCCCACAGAGGTCAAAAAGGGTGTTGGATTCTCTGGAACTGGAGTTACAGATGGTTGTTAGCTGCCATGTGGTGTCGGGAACTGAACCCGGGTCCTCGGGTCCTCTACAAGAGCAGCCAGTTCTCTTAACCACTGAACGATCTCTCCAGACCCCCCCCCCTTTTTTTGCCAATCTTGACCTAATAGAGTTCCCAGGACACTTCTGGCTTCTTCAGAACTTGGACCATACATGTATGTTATAACAGAGAAAGCGACTGAGCTCATTTCTCTCCAGGCTGACTTCAAACACTCCATAGAAAATATCAGGTTTTATCTTTTGGCCTTGAATTCTTTACTTAGTATCTTTAATCTTGTTTCCAGCACTCCTTGATACTGCCAAGGACATCCCAGCAAGTTCCTTCTCATTGTTACTCTCTGTGTCAGAGAATATCCCAGAATATTCTGATTAGAAACCATGGACTCCAAAACTCACTTTCTTGATAAATGAGAAACAGAAGTTTTGAGACAATATAATGTACATACCCATACAGTGCCATTAGAACAGTTCATTATAGGAAAGATAGCTTCTATTCCAGATGAGATGAGGAGGGTCACATTCAGGGACTCCGGCTGTAGATTTTCAAAAGTTAAATGAAATGACTCCCCACAATGCATAGAAAAGTTTGAAAAACATAAAACATAATTCTTACCCTCATCAAATGAGGAGAAAAAAAAAACCCCAAAAAGTGTTCTTTTAAAGAAAAGCCATTGAACTTGACCAAGAAGTGGTAATTAGCAATATTTGAAAAATAATTTAAGGGAATATTAACTCATGAAGCTGGATGAAGAGGGCTGGTTCTAACTATAAATAGGAGACAATCTTCATGATAAAGGGTAGGGATATGAACTGTCAAGTGGGACAGAGGCCTTTGTTTCAGTCCCCAGGAGAACTGAAGATATTACAGAAACAACCGTGAAAGGCAGAATAAATAAAGATAATAAGTTTTCAGAAATTGGGGTTTGAAGAAGGCCATTGAGAAGGAGGGAACCAGAGGAACCTAAACTTGGAGAAGATATTGGCCCCATGAAAGGTTAAGACATAGCCTTTAGGTTCAGAATTGCTATCACAAAAACCACCACTGACCTTGGGGTATATCATCGTAGCATGTGTGTTGCATGCATAGGCTGTAGACTTGCCTGATTGGAATTTTTGTGTTCTTATTCCTCAGGAGAGAGAGAGCTCCCATAGTGGAAGGAGTGTGGTCATTTAGTCTCCTGGCTCGACTCTACTTCTGTGGTTTTCAGATCCCATTGTGTCCTCAGCATCATCAAAATTTCCAGCTTCTTTGGGAAGGACATTCAAGTCTGCTTCTCACCATTTGGGCTTAGATTCTGTGACTCAAATAGAAGAATTTTCAAAACAGGAGTTTGTAGGATTAATGACAAGCTTTACCCTTGGCTCATGCTCTGCACATGTATTTGATCCCTGACTTGTAAGGGATCCCCATGAGGATATGATCCCTCTGGAATGTAACAGCCTTAGTGACCTGAGTTTTCAAGTAGGTTGTGGTGCCCAGGACCATGATATTCAGAATGAGAACTCAGGAATCTTTACGAAGAAATCAAACATGTTGCCAGGACAGGAAATCTATGGAATATTCTGGGGGAGATTCCCATGAGAATTTGTCTCCCTTTTTCACACATCTTGAGGGTCTTTCCATGTTAAGAGTCCCCACCTTCAGTCCTGAGCACTCCTGAGTTTCCAGTCAGCTTGCACAGAAATTCCACAGGCTGCCCTTTCACAGGCTAATTATTGTAGACTATAAAAACTACAGGGAAGCAGTTTTACCCCAACTTTATTCCTGTTTCTTATTTCCTTCTTATTCTTTTCCTCTACATCTAATTTATTTTCTTATGTATTTGGTATCCATTAAAATTACTTTAAATACTTTCTGGCCATCGCACAGTTTAAATAAGAAAAAAGTAAATATAATGGGCTAAAGATTCTGTCCTAAATAAATATCTGCTTTTCTACTTTGGTGTACTTCATTGACTTGAGCCTCTTCCCCCACAAAACCCAGAGAAGACTGCCAGGCATGGTGGCACATACCTTTGATCCCAGCACTCAGGAGGTGGAGGCAGGTAGATCTTTGAGATCAAGGCCAGCCTGGTCTACATAGAGAGCTCCCAGCTAGCTGTAACTACAGGGCTACAGGGAGACCCTGTCTCAATGATGA